CTAAATAAATAATGAACTTAAAAATAAATAAACTTAATAATAAATAAATGAAAAACTAAACATGTGAATAGAAAATGAGCAGTAGGGAGCCTAGCACCTGGTAATGGGGCAGAGGGAGAACCAGTTTGGAGCTGGGTATGACTTTAAGTAGGTGTCCAAGCTTTATTGAGAAGGTGATAAAAATCTCTGGCTAAGGTTTGAAGGAGCAGGAGTTATCTGGGTGACACCTGGGGGAAAACAGTCTGAGGAGAAGGAGAGAGGGAGAGGGAGAGGGAGAGGGAGAGGGAGGGGGAGAGGGAGGGGGAGGGGGAGAACATGCAAAGGCCCTGAAGCAGGTTGGGCCTGCAGAGAGCAGGAAGGTACCTAGTGCCAAGAGTCAGGGGTGGAGGCAGAGAGGAGGAGAGTGAGTGTGACCTCACCTTGCACGGTGAGGTCAGATTGTTTATTTGACATGAAACTGAAGTTCCTAGGTGGGTTCTGAACAGAGATGTGACATGAACTGACCTCTGACCCTTACCAGCATCTAACAGGAACTAAGTCATTTCGCCTATGATTATTTGTATTACTTCCAGACCAGGAGGGCTCTGTCTCAGTCACCTCTACTTAAAGGAGAACCACTCTAGAGGGACACAACTTTGATGTCGCTGTTAGTAAATTGACTAAGGGACAGGGACGGATATTGCCAGGAAGAAGAGCATCCCACGTCTTGTCTTCTAGAATTTGGTTCTGGAAACTCCAAATCAAATGAGTCTGTGAGTCCCTTTTCTCCCAATTTCTGAGAGGACAAATGACCTTTTCCTGAGCTTCCTCTCATTGGTGTGCTGCTGAGTGCTGCTCCCTGGACCACATCCCTCACTTCCCAAATCTGTTTGCGTCCATGGTCACCAACCCCAGACCTCAGTCCATACAGGTGTGTGACATCCCCTCCAACTCCCCCATTCCAAACCACATTTACCGCAATTTATTGAAGCGTTCACAGTCCGMAATGCATTTTGTTTCTTTTTAAATCTTTACTCATCCCCTTTTGGAATAAGTCAATAAGTAACTCCGATTTAAATAATTGACTTTTAAAAAGGAAAAACACTTTAACAAGGCTCAAAGTTGAACTAGCTCCTCTGCCCCAAAAGCTTAGCAGTTTCAAGGCCACCCTCCTGGAACAGAAGTTGCTGGAAACATCTTTGTGGCCACGTGTTTGATAGGTCTTGTCAAGCTCAGGGCTCACGTGTCTAAGAGGTGTCCCGAGGTCACCCCTTACTTCCTAGAAAAGAAGAAGACCGAGGTTCAGGGTAAGGATGTCATCACTGCTTCATGACCCCACGGCTCAGCAGCAGGGAGCCTGAACCCCAACTGGACAATCTGACTCCCGAACCTACAAGGTTCTACTGTGTAAGTTGGGTGCAACCTTCTTCTTCAAGATTTCGATTTCCACTCCAGGTCTTGGGGTCCTACTCCCTCCCCCTTCTAGCCAACTGGTCTCCATCAAAAAGGGAAAGAGGAGTACACCACTAACCTCATGTTCTTTGGGCTCTGAAGCATCTGTTCGGGCAGATGGCGAGAGGCACTGAATAGCAACAGCAAGAGGGACTGGAGGGAGACCTGGGGAGAACTTCCTAGAAGGGCATTTAAGAGGCTAATCATGCAGTGTGATTCTGAGACACTCAGAAATGTCTATGCCAGGATTGTAGGAGAAGGGATGACAGAGATCTTCAGGGCTGGAAACCAAACAGGCTAGGAGGTGGAATTCTGTCAGTTTTCCCAGAGCAGGTGAAGAACATTTTTCCAGGTGGTGGCTGCTGCTTTACAGAAACAGATGTTTCAAGCCCTCCSGTTTGCAGGGTTGGCCCAGAGAAAAACCATTAAGGGGCCCAAACTGCTTCATGGGTACCTTCAAGTGTCTTCTCTCTTCTCTCCCCAGAACCCCTTTGGAGTGCAGGATTCCAGGGCCTTCAAGACCTCTGCACCCCCCAGATGTCCATTGGTATGGGCCTCTGCCCAGTCATACCCAGGTTTCTGGTGCCCCCGTCTGGGCCCTGGCCTGTGGGTCTGTGTTTCCAGGGCTTCTGTCTCTGAAGGAAAAATGGCAGCCAAAGGAGCCCCCTCCCTGCCCCTGCGGAAGCTCTGTGACATCACTGTCCCCAACGGGGAAGACGCGGGATCTGACGTGGCCTGCAGTGCCAGCGGTCACTTCTCTGGCGGACTTTCCTGGAAAACACCTCGTCTCAGCCACCCAGGGCCCTCTGGATTCCATCCTCGAGGCCTAAGATTCATTCTTCATTCAGCGGCCTGGACGGGAGACCCTGCTCTGGGAGGCTGGGGTCCGGCTACGACCGGCCTGCTGTGTGACCGCCAGCAAGTACCTGCTCCACTCCTGGCCTCAGGCCTCTCCAGCCCACCCTCTGAGGAGACCTCGAGGTTTGAGTCTTAGGAACTTAGCTGCGGAAGGGCTACTGTATCTTGTTAGATGTCCCCGCTGCGGAAAGTGACTTAGAAGGATGATCTCACCACGTTCTCCCGCTGGCCTCTGAGAGGGGTGCCGGTGGAAGCCCCTGTTCTCCAGATGGGGAAACTTGACTTATCCCACTCACCCAGTACTAAGAGTCAGGTCAGAAAGGATGCCCCATTCCAGTGTCCGTGTCCTTTCCACCTCACCAAACTGAGAAATGGTTGGGCAGGACGGGGAACCTGGGACCTTTGGAGAAATACCAAGTGGCTCTGGGGAGGAGTGGAGGGTGAACCATTACCAGGTGGCACTGGGGCCCAGCAGACCTCAGCCTGGGTTAATGAGTACGGGTCCCTGGTCGCACTCCCTGAGAGGGAGGGAAAGGTGAGATTTCCACAAGGTTCCAGGAAAAAGTGAGTGGGGAGCCCGTGGAGAGGGCCCCTTAGATTTTTCTCTCTGCTTTTCACTTGCTGAGGGAGCTGAGGGTCAAGGGCTTMGAGCTTCAGCTTCTTTATTTATCCAGAGGAGATGAAGTGATCCCTGTTTTATAGCTTTGTCCCGAGGATGAAGAAGGACATTTTATTCAACATAAATATTTTTAGAACCAACCCTTCGATAGGTGCCAGATATTGGTTCGGGGCTTAGGGATCAAGAAGCACCAAACCCAGACATCCTTGCTCTCAGAGAGCTTATGTTGGGTAAAGGAAAGAAAAAATAAATAAAGCAGATGTCGTGAGACACAGATGACCAAAGAGACAAAATATATGGCAGAGAGGTTAGGGCAGGTGGGCAGAGAAGGACCACACATCCTTTGGTGAAGCTGTGGTGGTAGGAAGGGAGCTAGTCATCTGGATGTTTAGGTGGAAGAGAATTTCAAGAAGAGGGAACAGAACCTGCAGAGACCCTGAGGCCGGGAGTGCCTTATATGCAGGCAGAACAGCAAGGAGGTCCGCGGGACTGAAGCCAGGAAGCGAGGGGAGAGTCTTTGGAGAAACCATGGTGGTGAGGACCTTGTAGATCAGAGCAAGGGCTGGGGATTTTGCTCAGAGAAGTCCATGGTCTTGAGATGGAATTGAAGGACCTGACCCTCCCACCCCAAAGGGGTGTTTTTCTGCTTTTTTTGTGATTCCTCCTTTCTAGAACAGATTGCTGTTTCTTTCCCATGGCGAAGCTGCTGGGAGCAGGGGTCAGCCCACCAGGCTGTTTGAGTGACAGTTTCCAGACCCCTTCCTCAAGCCCAGTCACTCCGGGGCAGCTGCTGCTGCCTTGGGATAAAGATGGGTGGCACCTGGGCCTGAAGCACAGGGTGGAGGGGTGGCAGGGATCAGAGTTGAGACTGCACCATTTGTGACGTCAGGGACCAGCCCCAACTACTCCAGGATGGTCCGAGGAGGCAGAGAGGAGCATGGCACRGCCCCTTCACATCTGCAGTAGCCTTCCATCCTGCAGCTGCTTTAAACATCCTCTCTCCTGTCCAGAGATGCACCTCCCCGATCCGTGACAGCCAGGTCAGGCAGCTCAGCAGCCTTCACAGACTGGCATGACGGCACAGAACACCTGCAGTTAGCAGGCAGGAAACTGCACGTGCATGAGCCAGGCCCATCTCTCTGCATCAGTAGCACTGCTCTCACCTCAGCAGCCTGACCAGAAAGCTCCATCCCAGGCCCTGCTCCCCTTCATACTGTAGCACCAGCTCCAGTAAAGCCTCCTTTGAATGGTTTTATTTTGCCTATCTGTAATTTCTGTCTAAATTGGGTGGGCTGAGCTGGTTGCTAAGCTGGTAACCTTAAGGGTCGCCAACAGCCAGGACTGCCAATGAGAGAGCTGCTAGGAGAGCAGCTGAGAGCTGCTGCAGAGCTTCCCAGAGCTGCTTACACTAAGGGAGCTTCACTCCGCCTTTCTGTGATTTGTATCTGAATTGAACAAAAGAACCCTTGGCCAGTTGGTAACAGTCTGACTTAAGTCTGGTTAACTCTGCTCGAGAACAGATTTCAGGGGGCAAAAAGCAGAGGTAGAAAGACCAGACAGAAGGCCACAACATACTCTCATGGAGTGAAAGTGGTGTTTTGGAACAGGGCAGGGAATGAGACAGATTCTGGATAGCCTGAGATACAAGCGATGGGTTTGCCAGACCCAGGTATGAGTCAGGGAAGATTCTAAGGTTTCAAGTAGGAAGAATTGGAATGCTAGGGGAAGAGATGGGTAGGAGAGGAGATGGGGTGGAATGATTTGCAGGAAGAGATAATATCAGGCACTCAGCTCTGTACAAGTGTGTATAAAGTGCCTATTAAATACCCCCAAGTGGAGAAACCAAGCCGATTAAGATGCAGGAAACAGATCTACTCTGGAGATGCACAGGTGAGGGTCACTGGCAAGGTGGTTATGACCTTGGATGAGATCATGTGCAGAGTGAGTGGACCCGAAGGCTCCAGGGCCAGGCTGTCCGTAAACTTGGCTAGGAGGAATGATGTTACATCACGTAAGATTCCAGGACCCTGCACAGTTAATGATTAGCTGTGCTCTCCACCACATCTGGAGAAATTAAGTTCAGGGGCTCTCTGCATGATTACTGTGCTCTTCTTAAAGGCTTTGGGGACACTCACGCTGCTCATTCAGRAAGAGAGTGGACCAAGGTATCCCCAGAGAGACTTCCGGAAAGAACTCAACAGGTGAGCACTGCTGTCAGGAATGGAAGATGGGGGTGCTGCCTCCTGGTGTCACCAATCTTTAGGAGTTACTGTTAACAAGGAGAGTGACACTTCACGGAGAAAGAGCATCTGCCAGGTCTTAGTGAGGAAGCAACCTGGGAAGAGGAAGGGGTGATAGGAGCATAGCTTGGGAGGGACTGTGGAGCTGGGAGGAGGGTGGTCAGGTAAGAGCTGGGTGGCCATCAGGAAAGGTGGCCTGTCTGGGAAGGTGAGGACCGAAGGAGGCGCAAGAGCCAGTCATGGAAAGAGAGAAACACCCACAGGTACAGAAGCAGTATATATTCCTGCTTAGGACCCAGGTGTTAAGAAACCTTAGCCTGTTATTCCTTTAGAAAATAGGAGAGATTGCAAATGTGCCAGAGATTTTGAGTATTCTGGCAGCTGCTGCCTCAACAAACATGTCTTGGAGTTGAGCCAGTTGACTGTCCTGCCGGCTGGATTTCTGGAATCAAGGGTTGTTAGACTTAAATTCTGCAACATCATCAAGGCACCCATGATGGGACTCAAAGGCCAACCAGTTGTGAAACTACTTTCCCTGGGGCCAATGTATATGGAAACAATAATTACAACAGCTAGACCTTGGGACGTGATTGTCTTAGGTCCTGGGTAGCAGGTCCATAGTAGTTAAGATACCGGTCAAGTTTCAGTTTCAAGAAATAGATGCTCCTTGTATTAGTCAGCAGGGGATACACTAACCAACATCCACATCATCCCAGCAGCTTTTAACCATTCATATTTTCCCTCTGTGGGTCTGAGGGTTGTCTGTGGCTAGCCCTAACATTCTAGGCCCCAGGATAAAGGGAAAAATACCCATGTTGGATATGAAATTCTCATAGAGAGAATCGACACGCAAGAGTAAGGAGAGTGAGACTCTCCTTCCACTGACCAGAGCATACCTCGTGGGAAGGCCAAGGTCCATGGCAAGGGTATACATGCTATTCTTTCAGATCACACTGGGAAATCACCTGGAAGTGAATGAGGAGAGAGAGAGAGAGAGAGAGAGAGAGAGAGAGAGAGAGAGAGAGAGAGACATAGATATAGACAGATATAGATATAGTCTCACTACAGGAATCAAATTGCCAGGAACAATAATACAATCTACTACTCCCTGTATTTTAAGCACAAAGGGACTCATTATATGAAATTGGATGTCACAGAATGGTCAGAAATATTGAACAGGTGCCCTCAGAGAATGAGGCATATTAGAAGGACGCTGAAACAGATTCTGAGAGCCAATCCCACTCATGACTACCACAAGTCAACTCCTGGAGAGAGCCCTGTGAGGTTGAGATGATGATTCATAGAGCAATCTTCTAAGGAAAGGCTCAGCCCTGCCTCTCTCCTTCACAGATCCAAACATGCATTGGCTGCAAAAACTTCAGAGACTTTATACCCTATGGAGTCCTGAGATGTCCAGGTACCCTCTCCACGTTACCGTCAGGCAACTGTCGTCCATACCGTGGGGCCACCAAGATGTGCCAGAGAAGTTTAACTTTGCTAGCAATGTGATCGATCACTGGGCTGGTATGGAAAAGGTAAGAGGGAGAGAAGAGGCACTGGGTGGGATGGTTTGGCTGGCTTCATTAATTCTTCCATTCACTCGATAAATGTTTACTGAATGCTTACGTATCAGTCCCTGTAAGAAGCTATGAACAGGATGCTCATCGCCCATAGTGGGAAAATGAGACAGGTATGGGTTTGGCAGACAGAAAGGCACCGGGAGCCTGGCACAGAATGGTGCCGTCCGGTAACCCCTGGAAGATGGTGCAGGCTCTGTTCTGACCCCCAAGAGCAAACCAAGAGCAAGTGGGCTGGGGTCACAGAAGAAATGGGTTTGGGTTTGATAAGAGCAAATCTGAGCCAGTCTTCTCGAAAGTTGGGTCACACGTCTGTCATCAAGGACGTGCAAGAAGGATGTCCACCAGGCAGAGATTTCAAAAAGGGCTCCCTCCTGAGACAGCAAAGAGAGTGAGAGTGGTGTACATTTTCTGAGTTCTCCTGAGCTTCTAGAATGCCAACCCAGTTGGTGCTGATGCACCTTCACCTGAAGCCTTGTGCACATGACTGGGGATGGAAGAGCCCACCCAAGGTAAGATAAGCAAAGGCGTAGATCTGCCAGAATGGGCTTTAAACAAGGGCGCTCTCAAAGGTGGCCACAATGGTGACATTGCCCTGAAGTTCCAATACTGTGACACAATATCTGGCCCCCAGGCTGATGATGAAACCGAGGTTCAGGTGCTCTGGAAAAAAAAAAAAAAGTTAGGTCCACGTTTTAAAATGAAAAATTTTAAAACAAAATTTCTGTCTTTGGATTTCCTTTAAAAGTCATATCTCCTTGGAATACAGAGGAAAGGCCCGACCAGCTCATCTCACAATTCTGAATCCATAAAAGAAATGGTTTAATAAAAATCTGTGCATAAAGATCAAAAGAACCTTTCTATCAATAACACCATAAGAAAATGAAAATTAATGGGGGGAATGTTCAATTCAAGTGATAGAAAAAAAAGAGTTAATATCCCCAATATAAAAGAGTTCCCATAAACCAAGAAAAAAGAGGCTTTCCCCAAAATAAGAGGACAAAGAATATAAGCAGACAGTTCACTGAAAAATGAACTCAAATGACTACTCAACATACAGAAAAGAATACTCAACTATCGTTGAGACAATGGCAAAATTTCTTCACTGTCATATGAGTTGATTATCACAGTTTGGCAACACAGGAGAGAACACATTCTTACCACAAAGTCATATCACTCTCGTGGAGTTTTGAAATATTCGTGTTTCCTCTTTTGCTTGCCTGTTGTTCTTCAATTATGACCTGGGAACCCCCGGAGATGACACCAGATTCAGGAGCTCTGTGGAGTGAAAAACGATTTCAAACGTAAACCTTGGAGAAAATAGAATATCTGTGCATCGCTGGTGGGAACGTAAAGTGGTGGCGCTATGATGGAAAATTATATGGTCATTCCTCAAAATCTGAAAAAAGTAGAATTGCCATATAATGCAATCCCACTCCTGACCCCCAAAATACAACACCATCTAGTGCATCCATCGCGCCAGTGGGTTTACACTCAAAGGAATCCAAAGGAGTATATCAAAGAGATATTCATACAACCAGATTCGTAGTCGCTTTGCTCAAAATAGCCAAAAGGTCAGGAAAACTCAAGTGTCCGTTAACAGATGAACAGATACAAAAGTGTAGGCTCTCCATACCATGGAATATGATTCGACCCTCCAAAAGAAGGGAGTTCTGACACTTGCGTCTACAGAGATGAGCCTGGAGGACCTCATTCTGAGTGAAATAAGCCAGTGTATGATTTGGCAGAGTCAGATTCATAGAGACAGAAAGTAGACGGGTGGTGACAGAGTCTAAGTGAGTAGGGATGAGGGCTAGTTGTCTGAAGGGTCCAGATTTTCAGTTTTAGATAATGGAGAGTTTTCTCCAGATGGTGATGGTTGTGCAAGGTGAAAGGACTTAATGTCCCTGGACTATACACCTGCAAATAGCTAAAATGGGGAGAGGAGAGGGAGAGGGAGAGGCTGATCAGGGTAACTAAGTGGCAGTTCGATGGGGTAAGAAGTTCTGGTTTTCGACTGCCCAGTGGTGACCAGAGACAACTGGGTATTTGACGAGATCAAGAAAGGATCTCGGATGTTTTCACCATAGAGAAATGATAGACGTTCAAGGAGACAGATAGGCTCACCCTGATTGAAAGGTGTCCGCAGCGCGTGTACTGAGCCATCGTGGGTGCCCACCCGCAGGCACAAGTTTTATGTTTTTATGTCTCCGTTAAAAAACAAACATGAATCGAAAAGTAAATGTAAAATTATGCCACTTCTTTCTTTCTTTCCTTTTTTCTTGTGTTTTATTTATTTATTCTTTTTTTTTTCTTTTTTTGAGGGGAAATATACTGACTTTTTTTTATTTCAAAAATCTTAATCATTGGGGCTGGGGCTGGGGCTCAGTGGTAGAGCGCTTGCCTCGCAAGCCTGAGGCACTGGGTTTGATCCTCAGCGCCACCTAAAAATAAATAAATGAATCACCCTAATCATGATGAGATATCATCATGCTGCTCAGAAGAGGTGGCAATTTAGAAATCACGAAGGGTTTATATCTGGAACTTTCTATTTCACGTTTTTGGACTGTCGTGGACAGCAGGGTACTCATTCAGCAGACAGCGAAGCCTTGAATAAGGAGTGACTTACTGAATGAAGAAGCAGAATAGTGTCATTTTGAAGCGGTCTTGTATTAATTGGACTGTCACACGCTGCCTATGACATTTCAGSCCCTGGCAGACCAAGGACACGATGGTGATCCCATAAGATTATATGATCTAGTGACGTCATGAGGTCGGGCTGTCTTAGCTTGTCCCACAGTGTACACAACCCTGCAGCTGCCAACCACACATTTCCCAGAACCCACCCTTGGCTTATTACTGTCACTTCTTAAAAACACGTATTTTTTKAATTCTCCGTTTGGGTTTCTAGCATGGTAAATATGGACAGATCTAACTCAAAATAAATAAATAAATAAAAAAGCAACCCTTGAAGGTTTTCAAGACCTTTTAAGAGTCTGGGGGGGTCCCGAGAGCTTGCCAGGCCTTGATGTAGCGAGCCCAAGACCGGGGGTCTGTCTCTGGGCTGGTCCCCGGCCCTGAGTTAGCCGCAGGCTTCTGTCCCCAGGCTGGGAAGAGGCCTCCAGGCCCCGCCCTGTGGTGGGTGAGCGGCGATGGGGACGAGATCCAGTGGAACTTCAGACAACTGAGTGAAGTCAGCCAGCAGGCCGCCAACGTCCTCTCGGGGGCCTGCCGCTTGCAGCGTGGGGACCGTGTGGCCGTGGTGCTGCCCCGAGTGCCTGAGTGGTGGCTGGTGACCCTGGGCTGCTTCCGAGCAGGTTGGTGACGGGCCACGCGGGCTGGGCGGCCGCCTCTTTCCCGGGGCAGAGACACACAGCTGCCTCTGCCCAGAGCAGCCCCCTGGGAAGTGTGCCTCCCGCTCTCCCCCGGGTCCCCGTTCCTCGGCGGCTGGCCACCGTCCCCGCCCTTCCTCCCAGCTCTGTCTGAACCATTTGGCTCCTCCAGGCCTCGTCTTCATGCCTGGGACTGTCCAGATGAAGTCCAGAGACATACTCTACCGGCTGCAGGCCTCCAAGGCCAGGGCCATCGTGGCTGGGGACGAGGTGGCCCAAGAAGTGGATGCAGTGGCCTCCGACTGCCCTTCCCTGAGAATCAAGCTCCTGGTGTCTGAGAAAAGCCGGGATGGGTGGCTGGACTTCAGGACCCTGATGCGGTGAGTCTCGGCACGTCTGGGCCTGGCTGCCCACCGAAAGGGGGACCCGAGCCGAACACCCTCAGGCAGGTGCTTTATTGGGGTGGGGGCGCTCAGGAAGCAGAGTGGGGGACTTGGGAGAGAAGAGCGGGCGGGAAGGTCATTTCAAGGGCTAAGTGGAGCTTTGTGTGGGGACCTTCTGAGGAAAACACAGGAAACTTCCAGGATTTTCCAAGAAAGAACTGATAAGGTAACCTCCACGGGTTCAGGGTTGTGGCAACCGCGGCTCAAACCCGCGTGAGGCCAGCAGTAGGCGAGGCCAAGCCTAAGAGACGGCCGATGGACTGAGTCTCCAGCACCTTCTCACCTCTGCATCCCTGAGCAAGGCTTTCCAGGGGTCCTCCCAAAGGTCCATAGCAAGACTCACCAATGAATGTGTTTCCCTGTCACCTGTCTGAAATCCCTCCATGAGGGACATTTTCCTTTCTAATGTCATGGTCTTTAAGGTAACTGTCAGAAATAAAGTGACACCAGCTTCAAAATCAGGGTGCCTGGGGAGATGTCTGAGAGATGTGTAGGGGATTTCAGGGAATAAAAGAAGACATCAAGAAAGCATTGGGGGGAAAAGAAAKAAAGCATTGGGGGCCAGATGCGGTGGCACATGCCTGTCATCCCAGTGGCTTGGGAGGCTGAGGAAGGAGGATCATGAGTTCAAAGCCAACCTCAGCAAAAGCAAGGCACTGAGCAACTCAGTGAGACCCTGTCTCTAAATAAAATACAAAATCGAGCAGGGGATGTGGGCTCAGTGGTCCAGTGCCCCTGAGTTCCATCCCTGGTATCCCCACCCCCCAAAAAAAGAAAGCATTGGGAACACCCACTGCCCCCCTCCTGTGCACCACAGTCAGATTAGTCTTTATGAAGTTTCTACTAAGCACAGTGAATACTGCCTTTGTGGTAGAGGTCATTTTCTCAGTGACTCTATGAGACAAGTTGTATTGATCCCCTTTCACAGGAATGGAAAGTGAGACTTGAAGAAGTTAAATGACTAGTACAGACTGACACAGTTGACAAAGTGCCAAACCTGAGTGGTTTTCACTTCCAATCTGACTAACTCAGAATCCCATGATCTTAACTACTCAATGGCCACCTCCTTCTGAAGTGGATCAAGTGGCTTACCCTGGGAGCTGGTGGGCAAAATGAGTCACTGTGACATGTGGTGTCCAGGATAGATGTGAGAAGGTGATATTCTGTGTCTCCATCAGAGAGGCACCCACCACTCATCGCTGTGTGGAGACCAGAAGCCAAGAAGCAGCTGCCATTTACTTCACTAGTGGAACCAGTGGCCCTCCCAAGATGGCGGAACACTCCCACTCCAGCCTGGGCATCAAGGCCCAGATGGATGCTGGGTAAGCCACGCCCCTCCCCTCCCAGAGAGCCCAAGGACCAGACATACAGGCTTTCCTGAGGGTAGACCTGACCCTTCTTGGGAGTTTCTGAGGAAGACAACTGGGGAGGGGGTCTTAAGAAGCAAGGTTTCCCATACCAGGAATCCAGCGCTCTTCAGGGTGATGTTTYCATTACAGGTAATTCCAAATCTCAAAACCTCTTCCAGCTTTTGAACCATGTGGCTAGTAGGGTAAACGTTGAGCAGTAAAGCTCATGTGCATTTTTCCCAGAACAATCTCTACCTGGTCTTGTGGGGTGCTGCCAATTGACTTTGATGGCACCAGTATTCCAAGAGGACATTATTTTGTTAACAGAAAATTGCTTTGCAAATTTATTAACATGGCAGGTGGAGTTGGATGAGTTAAATGAGCTGAGATCTCAGAGTTTTTGGATCACAGACCACATAATTCAGAAATGTATTCCATTCCTGCATCAGCTTCATCTGTGAAACCGGGAAACACTATGGCAAGGTCTTCATGCAATTATAAGAAGGAATCTTCTGACATCTTTGGGATCTGGCCTGTGCTATTTTAATTTTATTATGTTATTAGAGTTATTAGAGTGGAAAAATACTTTCAGGGAAAAAAAAAACCTGTAAAAACTTCATTGTCCTACTTATGAGCCCATTGTATCAGCAAATGTAATTAATTATACAAATTATTTAACAGCTGAGCTGTAGGGAAATGCCATTTTTAAACAATGGAGGATAAATTATTTAAATATAGGTGATATATTCATTCACACACACACCCCGACTTTGGTCCTAATAGGCCTAATTTCCTACGGAGCTGAATATATTAATCTGCAAGAAAGGGCACCTACTGTGGTGACCATCAGCCTCATTTAGGTGGTCCTGACGTCCTCCTGTCCAATCTAAATGATTCTTGCTTTAAGATGGGGTTAATACCTCTCACTCTGAGCTGAAGAGATAAAGGGAACTAGTGTTACCTGTTCATGATGCTTGGAGAAATGAAAACCCACGTTCTGCTCAGTCAAACTTGAACTTGGCCAGGCCCTTGTGAGACTATTACTTAGATGACTCTTGTTAGCACGCTAATCCTGGGTGGTTACCACATGTGACGCTCTACTAAGTTCTGAGGACAGAAGGAGAACACATAAGACCCAAGTGTGTCTATTCAGTCATATCTGCTGGGGTCACATTTAAAACACTTGATCCCTCTTGACAGACTGTGCAGAAAAACAGTTTTCCTGCCCTCTCCCTGCTTACACGTACGCACATTCCTATAAACATATGGGCAGACACGCACACACCTGTGCGCACACACCTACACACACACCCTGTGTTGCACACGCCCCAACGTGCTGTCTCCGGGATGGATGTGTGCTTTCTCTGTGCCCAGCACTTGGACAGGCATGCGAGCTTCGGACATCATATGGACCGTATCAGACCCAGGTTGGATCCTGAACATTTTGACCTCAGTTCTGGAACCTTGGACATTGGGAGCTTGCGTATTTATCCATCTTTTGCCCAAGTTTGACCCCCAGACCATTCTGAAGGTAAGAGAAGACCCACTTTGCATGGATTGGTCAGGATGGGCCCAGAGTTTGCATGCGCCCATTTAGGGCAGTGGATTTCCATTCATATCATTTTTGCTAGAGCCCAGCCTATGTGAGCGGGCTTGGTGAGCAAGGTAGAAATGGTCCCTGACCCAAGTGGCCCCAAGAGTTCAACTTGAAAATAATTTACCCACGTTCGACGTTGTCTTAGTCAACTAGGGCTGCTACGATAAAAATACCCCAGAGTGTCTAAGACACCGCTTTTTTCTCACGGTTCTGGAGGCTGGAAATCTGAGATTATTGTAACGGCGTGGTTGGCTTCTGGGTGAGGGTCCTCTTTCTGGCTTGCAAATGAGTGCCTTCTTGAGAGAATCTCTTCCTCTTCTTACAAGGGCACTAATGCATCTTTGGGGTACCCCCCTCATTACCTGATGTAAGGACCTCCCACCTTCAAATACCATCACATGAAAGGTTGGGGGTCCATCTTATGCATATGGCACATTGCATTCATCTCAGATGCCCAGATAACTACCACCAAATCCAGACACAAAGCATCTCCATCCATGCAGAAGGTGCACACACCCTTTCCTGACCATATCCTCACCCAAGATGTTCCTTATTCTTTTGACTTCTACCACCACAAATTAATTTGGCCCCTTCTTGTACTTTATGTAAGTGGACTCATACAACATGTAATCTTTTGTGTTTGATATTTTTTCACTCAACCTGTTCTCTGTGAGATTCGTGCACACTGTTGCATGTGTCTGAAGTTTGTTCTTCTAAACTGCTATAGAGTCTTCCATTCTGTGAATCAATCCTAAGTTTCTTCTCCATCTTTTATTGGTGGACATTTGAATTCGATCTACTTTGGGGGTATTATCTAAGAGGAATCCTGAAGAACAAATTGGATTTTTTTTCCCTATAGAACATGATTGGGAAATCATTAAGTAAAATCCACAAACTATAACTATTTGTTGACATGTAGCCATGAGCAGTAAAAGTGGCCTCATTTTGCTTGCAATGCTCTAATGAATTTGAACTGTGCTTATGCTGTGGGAGCTGGATCATTGCCTTCTTGGGCCTGCAGATCTCGGTAGCAGTTCATGGGTAACCCAGACATTCATCTGGCTGCCCCCAGGCCTCCAGAAACAAACTAAGGGACAAAGGACACCTTCAGAAGTCAAAAAAGTCAGGGGTGGTCTGGATTACCTCTGGAGATTCTCTTCAAATGACACCATCATTCTGTCTTCAACAGATTATTTTTCCACTACTTTCCCAAAACAGATTATTCTATCCTGAACTGGCTCTTGCTAAGTTCTGCAAACAAAACACAAAGTAAAGCAAAACTCGACAACAGATGTATCTTTATAAAATCCACTTGGTGGAATTGAGCAAATTCACAAAGGAGAGGTGAGAAGACGTTTAGCAAATAAGTAGGTCAATGCAAGTTGAGCTTCCTGCATGGCAGGATCGTAGGGTGATTTTTGTAGCTTATGCTAGTTCATCAAGAGCCCCTGAATGAACTGACAGTGTGGTGCTCTCGTGTTAGTATTTTTTTAGACATTTTGCTTAAACTGCTCTTCAGTTCTGGACAATCCTTCTCCTGGACTGAAGCTGATATTACATAACAGTTGAAGAGTACTTGGGGCAGATACTTGATCTTCCACTTGATGGCTGTGACCTTGGAAAAGTTACTAAATCCTGAGTCATAGTTTTCTCCTCTCTAAGATGGGGATGACGGTACAGAGTTCCTGAGGTTCGTGGGAGAATTAAACAAGATAGCACAGGGCATAGCAAGTGGTCAATACTAGGTCTTTTTTGCAACATTTCTTTGGAAATGTCTACAGATASTTTTAACTTTTCCAAGAACTTTAAAAAAAACAACAACTCAATTATCCTCCAAAAAGATTTTCAGGAAAATAGGTCGGAAACAATTTATTTAAAAGCTGGTTCCAGCTGGGCACGGTGGCGCACACCTGTCATCCCAGCGGCTCCGGAGGCAGAGGCAGGAGGATCGCGAGTTCAAAGCCAGCCTCAGCCAAAGCAAGGCACTAAGCAGCTCAGGGAGACCCTGTCTCTAAATAAAATACAAAACAGGGCTGGGGATGTGGCTCAGTGGTCGAGTGCCCCTGAGTTCAATCTTTGGTATCCCCTCCCCTCCCCCCCCCCCAAAAAAAAGCTGGTTCTGCAAGGTTAAGAGACTTAACTAAGGTCACACAGCGGAGCTGCCCCAGTCTTTCCACGATGCCCCGGGGATTTAGACACTACTAAGTGATGTGTTGGTTCGGGCAAGTCTTAAATGGCCGGGAACAGGCAGCCAGTGTTCCAAATGGGTCCCAGACCGTTTTGCTACGATGGCAGTTTTTCAGTTTCTGTGTGTCTTGATGCATGAGAATTGTGAGGCTCATTTAGCCTGAAACCAACCGACAAGCTGAGGTTTCCAGCTAGACCGCTGTGACTCCAAGCCCCAGGGCGGTGACCTCTGTGCATGTTGGAAAGTTTGGCATGTATGACSTGCTGAGTGTCCAGCTGTCTGTCTCCCCTCAGGTGCTGTCCAGCTACCCCATCAACAACATGGTGGCTGCCCCCCTCGTGTACCGGATGTTGCTCAAACAGGATCTTTCCAGGTGATGGGACTTTGGGGAGCTTGGCAGGAGCCTGTGGGTACGTCCCCAGGCCTCCCTCATGTACATGCAAAAGTCTGTCCACCTGACCCTGTAAACACGGGGTCGTCCCATGAAACCAGCCCCAGAGCTTCAAAGCACCCAGCCCCCAGCTCTGGGTGGTCCAGGGGGACTTTGGTTCCCACTGGGCTGAGGGACCTTTACCTCTCTCTCTTCTTCAGACACAAGTTCCCACACCTGCAGAACTGCTTTACTGGAGGGGAGACCCTGCTTCCGGAAACTCTGGAGAACTGGAGGGCCCAGACAGGGCTGGACATCTGGGAATTCTACGGCCAGACAGAAACGGTACCCGCTCTCAGGGGAATCATGGGCTGGGGCACCTGGTGGGCTTTGATAATAAACATATTAGCCACCCTTTAGCATTCACTTATCTGAAAAAAAAAATTTATTGATCATCTGCTATGGGAACAAAACAGGCAAATGCCTGCTCTCATAGAGATTGCATTCTAGTGAGGGAGAGAGAGAATAAATGAATAGATGCCGCGGTAGCTGGCCCGAGAGAGCTATGGAACAGCGCGGTGAACTAGGTGACATAGAAAATGAAGCAGGTGAACTAGACAGAAGGGCTAGGGTCCGAGTCCATTTTTCTGTTACTATAAGAGAATCCTTGAGACTGGGTAATTTATTAAAAAAAAAAAAAGTGATTCATGCTGGCTTATGGTTCTGGAGGCTGGGAAGTTCAGGATTGGGTGGCTGCATCTGACCATCTTCTAGAAAGGGCTTCCGTCTAAGTGAGGGGCGGGGAGAGGCCGCCAGCAAGGCCCAACCTCACCTGCTGGGAGATCTTGGAATTCTTTCTCCTCCTGCAGGGGGCCATGGCAGAGCTGGGATGTGGGAAGAGTTGAGCAAGCTCTTGTGAGGAACAGCCTGGCCAGAGCTTCCAGCCACCCTGGGAGGGCCCTAGAGGGAAAGCTTTGGGGACATGGGCACCTCCATGGGAAGGGCCCCCTCTCAGGATTCAAGCAGAACCGGTCCATCCTAGGAAGTTATCTAACAAGCATCCTTTAGGCCTGCTCAGACCGCAGGCTGGTAATTTCACAAGTTGCCCAGGGCCTGGCTAAGTCGCTGAGGCTGGCTTTGAACTCCTGATCCTCCTGCCTCAGCCTCCCGAGCCGCTGGGAGGACAGGCGTGCGCCCYCGTGCCTGGCCCGTGGGATATTTTTACGATGTGGTTGTTAGTTTCTCTTCCCTGGGAGGTCCTCATCCGGGGAGGCTGCTTTCTGAGCAGGACGGAGGTTCCAAGAAAGGGGAGAGAGGGTTGGGGGATGGGAAGGGCGGGCGCCAGGAACAGGTGGCGGAATYGCGCTCTCTCTCCCTGGCCTCTTTCTTTTTCTGTGCCCCTGGGGGCTGCTCCTGAGTCTGTTGCTCTTCACAGGGACTCACCTGCAGAGTTTCCAAGACCATGAAAATCAAGCCGGGTCGCCTGGGGACGGCCTTACCCCATTACGACGTGCAGGTCTGCTGGGGCCCCTGAGCRGGGAGACACAGAAATCATAAACCTGTGAAGTCATCTACTTATTAGATTGTTCATTGAGTCAAAAATAATTGAGAATAAAAGATAATGAAATAATATGGAGCCGGAGGTGAGGAGGGGAGGAGGGAGGGAGGAAGACAGGGAGGGAGAAGAGGGGAAGGTAGATTTACATTCCTGCCATACACAGAGAACAGCTTGGCACAGCTAACAAACTGGCTCGAGAAGGACATGTGTTCTAAAAATAGAAATAAGGGTGAATTTTTATTGGTTTGGTTTTTGGGGGTTTTTTTGTTTCGCTTTTGGTGCCAGAGATGGAACCCAGGCATTTAACCACTCAGCCCCGTCCCCAGCCCCTTTTTTAAAATATCTTATTTAGAGACAGGGTCTTGCTAAGTTGCTGAGGGCCTCACTCAAGTTGCCGAGGCTGGCTTTGAACTTGCAATCCTCCAGCCTCAGCCTCCTGAGCTGCTGAGTTACAGGCGCGAGCCACGGCGCCCGACTGTGTGTAACCCTCTCTCTAGGTGAATGGATGCCAGTGTACATCATGAATTTTAATAACTCGGTAATAGATATGTCATCGGTCAGCCCAAAGGGTGATACCCCAGAGTTTGACTAGTAAAATTGAGACCTGACTGAGTGGGTGGTAGCTAAAGTTTTGCCCCTTTCCCTGCTTTATTTCTGGGGGCTGAACTGCAAGAGCTAGGATCTGTGTTTGTGGACCCGTGGTCACGTGCCCCGCCGTGTGCCTCTAAAGGGCAACTGTTAACACTCTGTTCAAAATCATGTGTCATTACCCGTCGCCCCACTCTCCAGGAGAACCACTGACCGAGCTGCTTTCTTAGTGTCCGGTTTTGTTTGGGTAAAGACCCCTGACCTATGTCCAGGGCCTCTGCAGACTCCTCCAGAGCAGGTCTCTGTCTGACCCACTCACGCGGCCACACGGGTCACCTCCTTCCAACCGGCTTCCTCCTCCAGGTCATCGACGAGGAGGGCCACGTGCTGCCTCCCGGTCAAGAGGGAGACATGGCCATCCGGGTGAGGCCCACCAAGCCCATAGGCATCTTCCTGGGCTATGTGGTAAGGACCGGTCCCCGTCCTCCTCTCTCCAGGGGGAACGCGGGGCACCAAGGGACACAAGGGGACCTCAAGTGATGAACCTCTCCAGAGGCATCGGCAAGATGTCCAGTGTCCCAGGATGGGTGCTCCGCCAAGGGGAAGGGCTGCCCTGTGTCCCCGATCAACCTGAGCCCGCCTCTGGGATCTGGGTCACAGGCCTGCCCTGCAGCCTACACCCGCACCTTCTGGAGGTCTGAGGCTTGGAGACTTCCCCGTGGCGGGGGGCATCCCGAGCCTCAGGCCCCCGGAAGGTGCAGGTAGAGAGGGTCACCTGCAGGTGAGGACGGTGACGCCAGAGATTACCAGAGTCACTGACGCCCAGGGCTATGGGGAAGCAGGCAGGGAAGACCCCCAGGCTGGTTGATTAACAAGTGTCCCCTTTGATTGAGCTGGTACTACAAGGTCAGCGCTGTCCTAAAGCACCTCACCTACATTAGTCATTCAGTCCTCCTGGTCACCCTACGGACGCTCTGGATCCAGCTTGCTGAATTCAGAACCCTGCTTCCCGGTTCACTGGGTGACCTTGGGCAAGGCCCTGGGCTCTCCTGACTCGGTGTCCTCGTGACATGAGGAAGGAAGCTAAGCTAGTAGTTCAGGAATCTGGCTCCTGGTCTCAGCTCTATCACCTAGAATGGCTGTTGAGCCTCAGACAATCCTCTTGACCTCTCTGATTCTTCAGTGCCCTCACATTCCCCAGTGAGGGAGCTAGGCTAAGGCTCCTCCATGACACGGTCTAACCCAGTAACTGAACACCCAATTTGAAGCCCACACCCCCCCCCAGCTGAACAAGACAGGAAGGTGCACGGACCAGAGGAAGCCCGAGCCTCAGCTGCCTAGAGGGGCCCCGCACATTGGAGGGAACCAGGAAAAGGACAGAATCGACCAGAAACTCGAGAACAGTATCAGGGAGTGAGCAGAGTTGAGGCTGTTCACGGAAGGGAGGCTGAAACCAATGGGGAGAAATCCCCTAGTGTACAGATGGAAGAGTGCATCAATATTACCCATCAGACCAGACCCAGGGAAATAAGTGAGAGACCCTAGCTGGACCAACTGAAATAAAGGAGGAAAATTCAGTTGGATCGGGGATCCAGGGTGAGTGGGTTCAAGGCAGGTCCACCCTGTGTAGTTGTTCAGGTTGCATACTGCTCAACCTGCACATCTGTTCATGGTAGCCCTGGGACAGGGACTTAGACTTGGCAGGTACAACGACTTGCTTTTTGTGATCACCAGGACAATCTCCAGAAGACTGCAGCCAATATTCGCGGGGACTTTTGGCTTCTGGGGGACCGAGGAATCAAGGATGAAGATGGGTATTTCCAGTTCGTGGTGCGGGCAGACGATATCATTAATTCCAGCGGGTGAGCTTGGCTTCTGGGCTGGGAAGGGCATTCTGGACCTCTATCCTGGCGGGTTCTGTACTTTGTGGATGACCTAGAGGCTGAGTCCAGTGTTCACTGAAGGACGGGTCCTTCCGCAGGTACCGGATTGGGCCCTCAGAGGTGGAGAACGCCCTGCTGGAGCACCCTGCCGTGGTCGAGTCGGCCGTAATCAGCAGTCCAGATCCCGACCGAGGAGAGGTGATGGGGTGTGCACAGCCTAGGCCTGCACCTTGGCTGTGTGACCTGGGGCAAGCTACTTAGCCTCTCTGTTCTTCAGCTAGCTCCTCTGTAAGATGAGGGGCTGCTACGAGGACTGTGTATGTTGATGTTTGTAAAGTGTGAGGACAGGGTCAAGCACCTAGTAAGCTCCACCTATAGGCAGACTCTTATTATGGGAAGACAAGGAATTTCCTCCTGCTGTTTGGCATTTGAATCAGAACCTGATTCCTGACCAAGAGAACAGAGGAGGATTTGGAGCCAAGGATGGGATCCTTCAGCCAGGTGGTTCACGGGGTGGTGGCTGCGGGGCCTGGCAGGATCCCAGGGGATGACTGAGCCCTGGCCGTAGGTGGTGAAGGCATTGGTGGTCCTGGCCCCTGAGTTCCTGTCCCGTGACCGGGACCAGCTCACCCAGGAGCTGCAGCAGCACGTGAAGTCGGTGACGGCCCCGTACAAGTACCCGAGGAAGGTGAGCCTTCCCACTCCCGGGGAAGGAGGCCGAGAACCAGGCCTCTAGGTCCAAAATCCCTCCTTGGTTGTGACCAGGGAAGCCGCCCAAGAGAACCCCACCACCATCCACCGAGGACTGGAAACCAGACTCAGTCTTGGACCGACTCCCAGTGGGGAAACAATGTCACATGTTCTCATGCCAACGAGGGCCAGCCAACCCCGGCCTGTCCCCTTCTGTCCCTGCCTGGGGGTCTTGCTGGGACATCCAGGGCTCTACAACTCTCAGCTGCAGGGGGAAGAAAGTTAAGTTCTCGTCCCTGGCTCACACGAGAGGACGGTCCAGGAGAGGGTGTTCCATCCCCCTGATCCCAGGCGTCCGGACAGCGCGGTCAGGAGTGTCCCTCGCACACCTGGGCCCTCCTTCTCCATCAGCCTCATTTCTTGTTCTCCCTTGGTGGCTCCAAGAAGCTCCAAACACCCACCCCTTCTCAGCAGCTTAGCCCATCCCAGGGGGAAGAGAGCATCATGTCCCCACGGGCCCCACAGAGGCCCAGGGCTGACGCTCATAGGAGAACTGGGGGCTGCGCGCCCAGGGCTAAACCCACCCCTGGAACCAGGCGGCGGATCCTCTGGTCGGCCAGCTCTGGGTCCTGTGGTCCCCCGAGGGTAAGGGGTCCTGTACCCGTCTTGGGCTGATCTCTGGGGAGGGACCTAGGGTCTGGATGTCGACGTGGCAAGAGAAGCCGGTTCACAGGTCTGGGTACAAGGTGAGGGCTGGTTCCAGGGCAAGGAAACACAGGTCTTTTGAATCTGGTGCAGAAGGGGACAGAGATCTTGGTGAGCCGGGGCCCCTGGGGTCGGCGGGTGACCCGATGGCCACCCTCCTCAGCACCCGCTCCTTGACATGGGGGCTTCCTGAGACACGGACCCCGGGGGGGAGACTGGCACACAAGAGGCTTCTTAGGGGGATGTTGGGGGACAACACCAGGGAGGGGGACAGGCAGGGAGCAGGACCGGGGGGTGAGGCTGCTCCGGGATCCAGTCTCGGGAGGACCTTGGCCAGCCCCACGGGAGGGTCTGAGGTTAGGACGAGCTTTCAGAACGATCCCTTTACAGAGCCCTGTAGATCAGGGGTGGGTGCGGGCTGCCCCTGAGCCCGGGCAGGACAGCTGTCCTTAGCTGGGACCATCCCCCAAGGGGGCTGCAGTGGTGGTAAGTCCTTCATCCCTGAAGGGGGACCTCGCTGCCCATCAGAGTCCCCCCTACGGGCTCTCAGCCTCCGCTCAGAGCGAGGCAGCCTCTCAGAGTCTCAGGAACAGGCCTCGGGTCCAAATTCCAACTCCCTCTACTTACCCCGTGACCTCTCTGCTCTGCTGTTCACTGACATGGAAAATGGGGCTAATGATTACCCGCCACAGGTTGTCGGGGATGAGTTAACGTTTATAGGACATTAGGCACTTGGAAGAACAGCGCCTAAGAAGCGTTTCCTGAGCCCCTGCGTCGGGTGATTATTTTTCTTCCAGGGGGCAGGAGTGGGGAGTTAACCCAGGGATATTTTACCACTGAGCTGCATCCCTCCAGCCCTTTTGTTGTTGTTGTTGTTCTGTTTTGTTTATTTTTTGAGACAGGGTCTTGCTAAGTTGGCCTTAGGGCCTGGCTACGTTGCTGAGGCTGGCCTCAAACTTGCTGTCCTCCTGTCTCAGCCTCCCAAGTCCCTGGGATTCCAGGCATGGGCCACCACCACACCCAGTACTTACTTTTAAAGGAGACTAGGAACCAAAACACACCCAACGTCGTTATGAATTCTGAACTGTAATAGAATGTTCTGGAAGATCTGAATACTATTGCCTCTGAATACCAAAGTGACCACAGACTGGACAGTACTGCCCCCTCATCTGCAGGGAATAGGCTCTAAGGAACCAGATAGCACCCACCCGACAGGCAGACTACGGTTTTTTTTTTTCCCTATACGTACATACTTACGATAAAGAAAAACTTAAAATTTGGGCACAATAAGAAATGAACCATAACAATAATAAATCAATTATAACAATTTACCGAAACAAAAACTATTCAAATGTATGAATGGTTGATTTCCAGAATTTTCCATTTGATCTTTTCGGATCTTTTTCGGATCTTTTCGGAGCCCTAAAACTGGAAGTCTCCGTGGTTTATCTTCATCTGTATCTTAGTACTCAGGGTTATTAGACATGGAGGGTTCTCACCTTCCAACGTTGCCTTTAACAGGTGAAGAGAGTGAAATTGGAGCAAAGCAGATCCACAGGAAACCATCTGAGAAATTAAATGAAAAACCAGGGGTTGGCCGAGGGCGGTGGTGCACATACCTTTAATCCCAGCAGCTCAGGAGGCTGAGGCAGGAGGATTTCGAGTTCAAACCTAGCCTCAGCAACTTAGCGAGGCCCTGAGCAACTCAGCGAGACCCTGTCTCTAATAAAATATTTTGGAATGGCTGGGGATGTGGCTTAGTGGCTAAACACCCCTGGGTTCAATCCCTGGTGCTAAAAACAAAACAACAACAAAACCAGGTGTTCTGACTTTAGCCCTCTGCTCTTCCTCGTCCAGACTGATAACAGCTGACATTTCTGAGCGCTGGCCTCTGTGCCAAACCCAGTTCCCTCCTCTCTTGCTTCTCCTCTGAATGACAGTTGGTTGGAGACCAGAGTTCTAGACTTTTCTGCCCTGTTCTAGCCACCCTCTCCTTGCCCCGTGGCACTGTTTGAAGCTTCCTGTTGCACACAGAGATTTTCTGGAAATTTCCCAGGTTCTGTCCTCACTCACCCGGAGCCTCCAGCCTCAAGATTCCCCGTCACAGAAACTCCTCTGAAAAATCCAGCCCCTCTGTGTCCCTTTTTTCCCCACAGTTGGAGTTTGTCCTGGACCTGCCCAAGACCATCTCAGGGAAAATCCAACGAGGAAAGCTTCGAGCCAGAGAGTGGAAGACGTCTGAGCAAGCCCGGGCCCAGTGAGACCCTCCCCGCACCCGGGGTCACTCACTGGGGTGTTACAACAACCCCATATTTCAGTACCAGTTTCTCCATTACGATAACAAAATACCTGAGAAAAATCAACTTATAAAGATAAAATGTTTATTTTGGCTGATTGTTTTGAAGGTCCCCTCCCCTTTCCCCTTCCCTCAGGGGCTTCAGTCTCCCTGTGAGGATTTTTGGGTTTTTTTCCCTTGATTATTAATATTGCCTTGTTAGATGCTGAAAGAAAAAAGAGAAAAGGGATGAGAGGGAAAATAAGAGGGTAACAGGAAAAGGAAATCAAAATGTCGTGGACAGATTCACCAGCAAGGGAAAGCAATTGGAAAATAAGTCCATGAAATAGATACTGGCACTTGCCGTGAGCCAGGCACAGGCTGAGACACATCATCAACCCCTTTGCTTCATCCCTGATCCCAGCTGTGGTGAGTGACCAAGAAGGAGCCAGTCCCCACGCCCCATGCTTTGGATATCATCGGGTCTTCCTAGAATCAAGTAATAAAATCATTTTTAAATCAAGACCCTGAGGATGGTTTTCGGGGAAGACAAAGAAGGAGAGGGACGTCTCCAGCCCCTGGTGGGGTAGGGAACGCGCGGAGGTAGCCAGCAGGTGGCGCTGTTGAGGAACAGACCCCCCCCCCAGGCTCAGGAGCTGGGCCCCCTGGGGTCCAGGAGGGGACAGAGAGAGGACTCTGAGGTCCTCACCTACAATCTGGAGGTGGAGGGTGAGCCTTCCTGCAGGCTGCAGTAAGGGGAAGTGGGCTCTGACTTCTCCTGGGAACCCTCGGCAATGACAGCAGCCACAATGGTACTTAGCACTTACCCAGCACTTGCTGCRAGTGAGACACCAAGCGAGCCCGGGGACGAATCCTACTCCAGGTTCACAGTCAGGCCTGTGKCGTTCCCGTGGYACAGTGGGGGGAACGGGACTTGGAKWGGTTTGGTGAAACTCCCCGGGCCGTGAGTGACAGGGCCAGATTCTAACCCAGCCTGTCCTGTATAACACCTGTGCTTTTCAATGTCCCTGCCTGCCCATCGATGGCGTCCATCACCCTGAAGCTCAGCCTCCTACAAAGTCCCAGGGATAAACCATGTGAATTCGGGTTCTTTGTCACAGYGTAACGGGCATGGCCTCCAGTGTCCTGGTTTCCCTCCGAAACTTCATCAGCAGAGCCTTTACTGTGCCCATTTCTATCAGCACCCTTGCCCTCTGAGCCGCTTCCACCATCACCCATTAAGCTCCACTTACAGAATTCTGAACTTGCTATGGCCTGTTCCTCCAAACCTTTTTGAACTCTTTTGAACTCGACATACACCAACTCCAAAGGCCCCCCTCCAACATCATTAGGGATATGGTTACAACAACCCCATTTTTCAGTACCAGTTTCTGKATTAACTTTCCATGACTATAACAAAATACCTGAGAAAAAAAATCAACTTATAAAGATAAAATGTTTATTTTGGCTGATAGTTTTGAAGATTCCAGTCCCCCGTTAGTTGGCCGTGTTTGGGGGCTGGGGCGAAGCAGCACACCATGGTAAGAGTGTGTGGCAGAGCAAAAACTGCTCCCTTCATGATCCAGGAAGCAAAAAGCATGTGAGACAGGAGCCTGGGAACCACAATAGCCTTCAAGAGCACATCCCAACAACCCCAGTACCGCCAGGAGGCTCTTCGTCTTAAAGGGTCCACCACCCCTCACAGGACCTGTAGTGGACCCTGAGTGGACAGTGAGCACCCACACTTGAGCGTCCCACCCCCAGACTCAGTGCTCTCCTTACTACATAAGAGGTCAGCTCACACATTAGTGCCTGGAGGAGGGACGTCGCCTCGTTACAGTCTTCTGACGTCATCCGCTAAACTTTTACAAGGTCAGAAGAGGTGGTCATTGAATCCGTCCCACGATAAAGAGTCTGGGCTTCCTTGAAAGAGCAGCCCCATGAAAGTGGGTCGAGGAGCGCCACAAACTCAGTCCACCGTGCGTTTAACACGATGACCCCGGCCGCTGAACTGTGAGAGGATTCAGGGGGCAACTGAGAGGTGTTTAGCATCTGTTCTTGGAGCCTGGGAATCTCATGACCAAGGGAAAGCGGGCCCTGGAGGATGGCGGACGCCCAGGTCGTGGGGTTAGGTCAACGGATCCGTGGTTCTAACACTTTCTGAGAAGAGAAAATCTGGAGGAGAAGATCAGATGAGAAACTGATGTGACTCCATTTTTGAAAACAAATAAAGAATAAGCAGCTTCTACCTCAAGGCCTGTCCAAGGAAGGGGGGGGGTGACCCTTGACCTTGGAAAAACCCACAGAGCCTTTCTAGGCACATACCCACCTGCTGAGTTGTTTGTCTGCAAATAAAGGTGTCCCTGACTC